TGTCTTAGGCTTCTGTTCAGTAAATATTTATGGACTGATTTCCGTGGGAGCCATATGTGAAGATGCTGACTTAAGAGTTTTATACTGATAGTGACAACTGTTGGTGGCCCCAGGGCAGCCAGAGGGGAAGATGTTTTGAGCAGACAAGACCTAGCAGAACCTTCAGACTTTACCACATAGCTAAAAAACAATTTAGAAATACCACCAAGATAATTCACATGCTTTCCTAAAAAACATTTAGTAGTGATTTTTTAAAAAATAATTTTTAATAGTTTTTATTATTATTTTTTAAGATTTTATTTATTTGACAGACAGAGATCACAAGTAGGCAGAGAGGCAGGCAGAGAGAGAGGAGGAAGCAGGCTCCCTGCCAAGCAGAGAGCCCTATGCGGGGCTCGATCCCAGGACCCTGAGATCATGACCTGAGCCCAAGGCAGAGGCTTTAACCCACTGAGCCACCCAGGGACCCCACATTTAGTAGTCATTTAATGAATCTTGACAACAAGCTTCGGGAAGCAAAATTCTCTTCACCGATTGCCTCCAGTACTGTACTTAACAGGCCTCCAGTCCCAGTGTCTGGCTCATTCTTTTGAATGGAATTAAAGCTTTCCTTTTGATTACTGATGAAACTTGATAGCTTTTTAATTATGACCAATGATTAGTACATCACATATTTAGTGACAATGTAGCATTTTTTAAAAGATTTTATTTATTTTAGAGAGAGCACATGCGGGAGCAGGTGGAGGGGTGGAAGCAGAGGGAGAGTATTTCGGGCCGACTTTGAGCAGTGCCCCATGAAGTCTCGATCTCATGACCCTGAGGTTATGGCTTGAGTAGAAATCAAAGTCAGTCAGTAAACTGAGCCAACCAAGGGCCTCAAAATGTAGCCGTTTTTATTTTTATTTATTTATTTTTAAATATTTTAATTATTTATTTCACACACACACACACAGAAATCTCAAGTAGGCAGAGAGGCAGGCAGAGAGCGGGGGGCAGCAGGCTCTCCGCTGAGCAGAGAGCCCGATGCGGGGCTCGATCCCAGGACCCTGAGATCATGACCTGAGCCGAAGACAGAGGCTTAACCCACTGAGCCACCCAGGAACCCAAAATGTAGCATTTTTAAAAGGAGAATCAATGTTAAGGGACACCTGACTGGCTCAGTTGGTAAAGGATCCTGAGTTCAAGTCCCACACTAGGTGGGAGCCTACTTTTTTTTTTAAAGATTTTATTTGTTTGACAGAGAGAGACACAGTGAGAGAGGGAACACAAGCAGGGGGAGTGGGAGAGGGAAAGCAGGCTTCCCACCAAGCAGGGAGCCCGATGTGGGGCTCGATCCCAGGGTCCTGGGATCATGACCGAAGGCAGACGGTTAATGACTGAGCCACCCAGGTGCCCCGGGGGAGCCTACTTAAAAAAAAACAATGTTAAGACTTGGTAATTTGTAAGAATTTGTGAAGAACTGGATCAAATTTCCTTCCAGGGTGTAGAACAGTTAGGGTTTTTTGATCAGGTGCAAGAAAGGTTGACTTGTGGGGCGCCTGGGTGGCTCAGTGGGTTAAGCCTCTGCCTTCGGCTCAGGTCATGACCCCAGGGTCCTGGGATCGAGCCCCACATCTGGCTCTCTGCTCAGCAGGGAGCCTGCTTCCCTTCCTCTCTCTCTGCCTGCCGCTCTGCCTACTTGTGATCTCTGTCTGTCAAATAAATAAATAAAATCTTTAAAAAAAAAAAAAAAAGGTTGACTTGTGAAGCAATTGCTTCAAGTTGTACAATTGTCCTTGAACAAATCTTGCCTCCCACTATATTAACAATGATAATGATTATTTGACATGGGATGAACTACTTTTTGGCTATAAGACCTTTTTGTTCTTCTAGGAAGTGAGCATTGTATTTTATATGTATTTTAATATTGTTTTACAAATGTCTAATAAATTCTAAAACTTACCCAGAATTATTCTGCCTTTAGTGTAGAGCTCATTTTCTCAGGACAGGCAATACCAACATTCAAATGTTTTATTGAATGAACCTAATGAATGAGTTGTGTCGTGGGGGTGGCCCTTGTCCCCAAAGACCATTTGAATTCTTCCTTATCAGGGCAGCATGGTGACCCTTGTTAGGTTTCCCCGTCCCACTCTAGTTTTCACGTTCAGAAGTACTTAAAGCTCTAGCTAGATCAGTGCTACCAAATGTTTGCTGACTGCTTATCAGCCCCAAACTGTTACCAGCTTATGACCCCATACAGAAACTGAGGGCAAGCATTTCGAGTTTTTAGAACTACACGGCAGAGTGATTGTCAGGCGAATTTTTTAAAGATTTTGTTTATTTGTTAGAGAGAGAGAAAGAGAGAGAGAACACAAGCGGGGAGAGCAGCAGACTCCCCGCTGAGCAAAGATCCTGATGTGGGACTCAATCCCAGAACCCTGGGACCATGACCCGAACCAAAGGCAGATGCTTAACTGAGTGAGCCACCCCAGCATCCCAATAACTTTTTCAGTAACACTGTATCTTTTAAAAATCCATTTTCATTGCATTTGGCTTTTTACAGTGTACAGTCTTCAGGCTGTGAGAATTTGGAAATCTAGTCCTTTAGGTAAAAAATCTGAAACACTGTTCTAGATGACTCTTTACCTCTGATGCCTCTAGAAAAACGCCAATTCCTGCATCAGTCCAGCCTTGTGTTTTTGAAAGTGTGAATGCCAGTGGCCTCAGTCTTTGCACCTAGTCTTACTGTAACCTTGGCCTCCATTCCATCTCTGCATCAGGGCTGAAGTCCAGCATACTCATTTCCGCAGGCCTTCAGAGTGCTGCACTGCTCGGTGGGAGACTCTCATTCACACGATCCCTGCACAGTGCAGACTACGGTTGGAGGCTCAAGGGAATTGGTGACCAACAGCAGGAATGCTTTTTGTTGTTATTCATATTTACTACCCAGACATGCCAATATTCATGAGTTTTGATAGCTTCAATGTGTTTCAATGTATTATCTAACCAGGCCCATACAGGCAGTTTTTGCCTGTGTGATGCAATTTTTAAACCACAAATGTTAAAAATTTGGGAGAAGAGGGTAGACATTCTTTATGAAAGTACTGATAGCAAATTTGGGTAATTTTTTTTATTTGGGGATTTGGGATAAATTCTTTATCCACATTTTGGCTCATTACTCAACATATCCAAAAGCAAACTTAACGCTCTTCTAGCCCAATCCTCTTCCTTTCCCTTGTCAATAGAACCAGGCCAGAAAACTCCACCTCTCCTACCATTTTCCGTTATTGTGACTTCACCACGTTAGCTGTCCCATTTACCTCATCTCCTGCAGAGGCTAACTTATCTCCGGAAATCTAGACTCACCTTCTGCAATCCATTTTGAAGCTCCTTCGAGAATTATCTTTAATTTCCCCACCCACATTGCTTCTTCAAATATGTTCATCATAGAGGTGTTTGAGGGGGCTCAGGTGTGAGCTGTCAGTAGCCAATACTCCTGGGAAGTAAGGGAAATTAATGTGTTGGTCCTGGGAGCAGGGGATTGATTGCGGGGGTGAGGGGGGTAGGAAATCTGGGTTGATGACCACAGCATTCACCGCCATCTCAACTACCTCTCCTCCTCTGCCCATTCAGCTTCTCCAGGCAGATTACTGCGATTTCTAGACCAATTCATCTTCTCTCTCTGAAAGATCCGTCCTTGCTTTTTGGTAATTCCCACAACTGGGAAAAAGATAAGATTTCTACTAAATCTTTCCCAACCTTCCCAGGGAAGAGGCAGACTCTGTTCTATAATCATACATCTACTTCCTCTGTAAGAATGAGACCCTCAAGGGGGTAGGGGGAGGATGATGGTTCATTCATTTGTATATTCTCAGCATTTAGCATTATGGCCAGCTTTTAATTCATACTCTAAATTTTTGGCTGAACATCAGTTTTACTTGTACAGTGAACATATTTTTATTTAAAGATTTATTTCAAGAATGAGGTGGTGGGAGGGGCAGAGGGAGAGAATCCCAAGCGACTCCCTGGTGAGCCCATCTATCTCAGGACCTGGAGATCACTTCCTGAGCCAAAACCAAGACAGATGCTTAACTGAGCCACCCAGGTGCCCCTTAAAAAAATTTAACGCAGTTACATAGACATGTCCAAATGAACAATCCAGCACTCTTTAACTTTTGACATCCAGGTTGTTTTTACATGCAATTTTGTAGGACTATAAACACATTTTGAAAAATTTTCTCAAAACTGAAAATAGAGGGGCGCCTGGGTGGCTCAGTGGGTTAAGCCTCTGCCTTCGGCTCAGGTCATGATCTCAGGGTCCTGGGATCGAGCCCCGCATTGGGCTCTCTGCTCAGCAGGGAGCCTGCTTCTCCCCCTCTGTCTCTGCCTGCCTCTCTGCCTACTTGTGATCTCTGTCAAATAAATAAAGTCTTAAAAAAAAAACCAAACTGAAAATAGACTGTCAGATTATTCTCCTTAAGAACTATTATTCAGACTACCATCATTTAGTGTTTTTCAGAAAGCCTTGCCATTGTTAAGATTTCATTATTTCACCTCATTTTGAAGGCTTTGAGTCCCTGCAAAATGATCAGTCTGGTCAGACAGTTGAGGAGGTACCAGGAAAACGACTTCAGAGAACCGGGGTCAAGGACATCAAGAGGTTAATGAATGCTTTAACTTCCAGGGGTTACCTCAACTTCTTACTACCAAATGCTAAAGAGGACCACTAAATAGGCAAATGTGCTATTAAGGGTGGGGAACTGAGTTGTAAATAAAGACTGTAAAATAACTGAATGAATTCCCAACTTTTAGGGCAACCGTGAAAAGTACATTTTATTAAAAAGACTTAGCTGAGACCACACGGTGATTAATAAGTTGGAAGGTGTGCCTGGCTGGCTCAGTCAGTAGAGTGACTTGACTTCTAGGTTGAGTTTGAGTCCCACATTGGGTGTGGAGCCTACTTTAAAAACGGGCAGGGGATGGGAGGAAGTGAATCTGAATGCTTATTTCTACTTGTGAAACCTTGGGCAAAGTGTTTGGGAGCCTGCTTCAGTCAGAGAATTTTATTACTAAACTCCCCCAAGAACAGGAATATTGACAGATTTTTTAAAAGACAGGATCATTTCATGTGTGCCAAAAGGGGGAGAGGAGGTCTGATAAAATACATCACCCGTTCCTGAGAAGATGAGCAAACTATTAACAGGAAACTTTGTAAAAAAGTATCTATACATAGAAACCAACAGCAAACATTCCTGATGGAATATGCAGGGTTTCCTTCCTAAAACTGAAACAAGCAGGTGACTTTAATAGGAGACCAGGGTAAGACACATGCAAGCCAAACCCTCGTTGACAAAAAGGATGTACCCTTTTTAAAATTATTTTTATTAACATATAATGTATTATTTGCCCCAGGGGTACAGGTTTGTGAATCGTCAGGTTTACACATTTCATAGCACTCACCACAGCACATACCCTCCCCAATGTCCATCACCCAACCACCCACGATGTACCCTTAAATGCCTACTTGGGCTACGTTGAAGAATACCTCTGTGAATTCTGCTCCCTAGGTGTCTCAACCTCACCTTAGCTGGTCTGCTCTGACCACCTATATTCAATAGGTTTTAGAGGTCCTAACCAATGTATTCTAAAGAGCTCGGCAAGGTCCTATAAAAAGACTTTAAAAATTATTACTTACAAGTTAGCAATTGTAAAGAAAATTCAATTGACACTACCATCAGTGAACCTAAAATTCCCTAGTTCATCAAATCATACAGAACAGCACACAAAACATTTGAGAAAATTATAATGGATTCTATGCAATCCCAATGATATAATCAGGTTCTTTATTTTTAAAAGATTGGGAGAGAGAGGCAGAGCACCAGGGAGAAACTCCAGCAGACTTTGTTATCAGCCTGGGGCCTGACACAGGCTTGATCCCACAGCCCCAAGATTATGACCAGAGCCAAAATCAAGAGTCAGATGCTCAAGAGACTGTGCCACCCAGGCTCTTTAATAATGGAAACTGAAGGGTACCTGACTAGTCCAGTTGGTAGAAGATGGGACTCATGATCTTGGTTGTGAGTTTAAGCCCCACCTCAGGTGTAGAGCTTGCCAAAACAAACCAACCCCAAAAAACCCCGACAGGCTTGTTTTAACATTTACACAGAAATACAGGTAATCATGAAATAGTCAAAGCAGTCAAGATCCGGTCAAATGAATTTAAAAGGCACCAAAAGTAATTCAATGGAAACAGTACAAATGGTGCCAGAGTAACCGCACAATCACATGGGTGAAAACAAATTTCATTCCCTACCTCACCGCACACACAGAAACCGGAGATGGGGGACAGATGTGAAAGCCAAAAATTGAGGCTTTCACAAGAAAACAATACCACCACTACCACAATGTGAGGCTAGGTAGATTTATTGACAGGAAAAGATCCATTAAAAATGTTGGTAAATCAAGACTTGAGATTAAGAACTTCTCATCAAGTCGCTATTAGGAAAATGAAGAGAGAGGACTATAAAACATTTGCAGAACACTAAATAAGGAACTTGTGTGCAAAACAGCCAACCTAATTTAAATGTACGAAACATTTTTGAAGTCTACTAACGGTGGATAAAGATATGAGAACATATTCATTACTCACAGAAACAGATTAACATAAGGTACCACTACACATCCAGAAGCCACAAAAACACTTGTATGCAAATGTTCATAGCAGCTTTATTCATGTTTCCCCCAAATTGGAAACCAACAAAATGTTTAACAGAATGGATAAACACACTATAGTACATTCATATACAACGGCTCCTACTTGGCAAAAGGAATACAGGGTTTAACCTCTCAAAAACCTCATATCCAATGAAAAGCTCTTTGAGTATATACCTTGATTCAATTAATGTAAAGTTTAAGTGGGGCAGGGTCCCCAGTGGGACCCCATGCTATGGTGAAAAAAATTGGAAAAGTAGTTAGCTAGGGGTGCAAGTAGACTGAGTTGTCGAATTAGACTTTTGTCCCAATATGGCTGTGCACTAAGAAATGTATCCACTTTCTGGAACTGTAGTTAAGATTTGCATATTCAACTTTGTAAATCTTCCCTAAAAAGGATGTACAGTAGATAGATGGATCTAACAGAGCATGACTGAGGACAGTTTAAGGTAGGATATGAAGATTCAATGTACTATTTTAAATACTCTCCAAATGAAATGTTTAATTACAAATCTCATCTATTTTCTCAGGTACTAGCTAATCCCTGCAGAGCTCAGTTACAAAATCTCTCACAGTACAAGGGATAGACTCCAAAGAACAGTTTTCCATTTTAACAAGAAAAAAGGAGTGGGGGGGAGAAAACCTCTAGTCTGAAGGTGGGGAGTCAGGAATTGGGAGTTATTTGGCCAGGACAATGAAAGTAAGATCCTTTACCTTTCATAGTGTAATACCGCATCTGCGACTCAGATGTCTGAATCTTGTCACTTAACTGTTCCTGTAAAAGAACCTGGTGTTGACAGTATTATGCTATGTGACAACATTTTACTTTTCTAGGACCCATCCTTTTTCACTCAACATCATAGAAAATTTTCTCTCATCTGCTTTTCCTGGGAAAGATCTGAGTATACATTTTTGAAGACTCCGACTTTCAGATTATTGTAGACCATGAAACTTAACCAAAATTTTGCCAAATAAATATGTACCTAACATGGCAAAAAATCATCAAGGTTTTAATTCTGTTCTAGTTAACAGAAATACCGGTGAATGAAATAAAGTGTGTTTACAACTTTTTCCTCCCCGCTGTCACCAGTACACATCTATTCCTCAATAAAGGTTGAACACTTTACCTCCAAACTTTTGGTTTAACTCCCAACTCACAAACACACTTTCTTAGTCTTACTTACCCTTCCTACTCTTTGATATCCAGTATACATATAGAACCCAGCTATTTCTTTTAAGCTTCAGTTATGAAACCCCTAACAAAAATGCTTAAATCTGAGTATAAATTATTCTCCCAGGAGCTTAAAGATCTTCTGTCTTCATGATTACTCTCCCAAATGTTAGAAAATAACCATCAAATATAAATTTCCTCAAATCACAAAAACAAGATGTATTTTTTAAATAGTATACATGACCAAATACTAGACAACAGAAAACTTTTTGAATGTCACTGGACAAGGAATTAAGCAAACTTTTATTGAAGCTTAAATTGTGGTACAGAAATACATTTCAACTGATTTAAGTCCAACACCATGAAGAGAGAAATAATGGCACCCAAATTTCCCCTCTTCTATCATACACACTAGGATTAATTTCAATTACTATTTAATCTATAGTTTTAATTTTTCTAGGCTTTATTCCATACAAATTTGTGCAGTTTTTCAACATTAGATAGAAATCTATTAGGAGGAAAAAAAAAAATCAGACCTCAAGCCAACAAATGTCATCAAATCTACTGGGACACTGTTCAAGAACAAAATCCACTTTGAGCATTGGTCCTCAAAACAGTACCAAAACATCAGGTACCGTGTGCTAATTACAGAATCAAACTGATCCACTGACTGAAAGTTTCTTCAATGAAACTTCGAATTAACATGCTTAAAATAAAAGTCAAAATTTGTGTTCCAACCACTTGATTTCAAACCAAGTAGATTTTATGTTTAGAAACACTAAAAAAAGTGTTTCATTTATAAATACAGAAGGAACAAAAACATCACTGCATCAATCCAGAAAGAATCAAAAAAATTTTTTGTGAGGACAAGAATATAAAAAATTTAGTCAACTTTGCTGTTTTCTCAGCTGCTCAAATCTTGTACTGCAAATATAGCTAAAAGATGCCAACTCCTCAAAGCCTGTATTTCTAGTCATTTCCCATTGACCAGTTTGGAATTTTGTCTTACGGACAGCATTCTGCTTCATTGTGTATGTCTGAATAACATTCTGGGAAGTTTCACCTGATGCTATGAAATCATGGTGAAAGCAACACCAGGAAGAGAAACAGTTCAAGTCAGAACACTATCATAATGCATTACAAAGTCCAAGAACTTTTAAGTCACAAGAGGACAAGGACAGACTCCATTTTCAACCAAAGTTTATGGTGTATTATGAATGAAGATGACTGGAGATATCTACTAAAGTAAAAGTTAAGGGGAATCATCTGAGCTGACTTATTAAATCCTGTAAATACAACCTTTATTCTTAATTTCCTTGCTAATAAACTTAAGTGGTAAAATTATACAAGTACTTACTAGCAAGTTACTAAACGCATGGTATTCATGAGAAGCTAATCTCATTTAACGGGAACAGAGAATGGCATAGTTTCTGGAACAGTTCTGCCAGTATACCCTAATATAAGCGTATGTGTCTTCCTTGCTCATCAACAACAGGTTTATTTTTGTCACTATCTCCCAGAAGAGCCCATGTCAATATAAAAGGAGGCCAAACTCGCTTGACTTTAAAAAGAAAATTAAGCCCAGGGTCCACTCTCCCTTCCCCCTCCCGGGTATAAGATTAGTATAAACCCACAGTGTAACAGTGTATTGCTTTATTGGGGGGGGAGGGGTGTTTGGGAGGCAAGACACCATGATGAGAACAAAATCAATTAATTAAAGGAAGTACAGGTACAGGAAGCAATAATGTCAAAATAGTAAGACACAAAATGGAAAACTGCAATCATTTTCTTAAGAGGACTTGACTCGTGGAAGATAAACTTTAATCGCTGTTGCAAAAAACATCTGTATGAAATAGAAACTGGTTTCAGTAATATTAGTAGAGAGTATGTTCTAGAAAGTGGAGGTAACTGGACGTAAAATCCTGGCAGCAGTTTAATAGAACAGTCCCAGACGATTAGGCTGAGGCCAACACCTAATGAGGACGAAAGCCTTGTCTGTGGGGAATTTTGGATGATACCTGGAGAAATATTACACTGTGCGTAAACCAAATTGAATTGTTTTCACAAGTGTGGTAAAGTTTCATATAGTAAAAGTTTTTTTCTACATGCACTTCAATTTCACAGCAAGAGTGGCATAGGATACCTAAACA